CAAAAATCTGCGCCAAGGCGCCCTGGGAAACTGGATGTAGGTGGATGGGCAGCAGCACTGTAACACAAAGCCACCCTCCAAGCCCGCCTTGAACTTAGGCTCAGCAGGCTGATCTAGCAGACCCTTGTAATCCTGACAAATCACAGGACTGCGCCTGCACGTCAACAGCTTTGCCGACTGTTTCTCCAAGCCCTCATGATGAATTCTCCAGCCCTTGGCTCCTTTCCCACAACAGAGATCTGGGAACAGTCAACGGGGCCTGGGCAAGGCCCTGGCACAGCCAAGAAATTTCAAATAACATGAGGGAAGTTGGGAGGGCTTTGGTGCACTCTTCGTGTCAGGTGCATCTTGCCACTGGTGACACTACTGCTGCTGCTAGACAGATTGATTGCTACCAATATGGCCAACATATGTCACTAGAAGTCCAATCTGTCGTGCTCCTACAATCGCCTCTCTCTAGCAGATACAGGTTGTCCTGCCACATACCTATTCAGTACTAAGACATGCATGGGATGACCTGCACGGGAAGCACCTGTACAGGGCGGAGCGTCTACTTTTATCGTGCTCAAAGCAGGCATAGCCGGATCTCGGAGCAGGAGCCTCCCACTGCCTCCTTGACCTTGGCGAGCTGGTCCGCGGGGAGCTCCTCTGTTGGCTTGCCATCCGGAAAGGGTAGCGGAAAGGGTTGTTGACCCATAGGCTGGAACCCAACTGACTCTGCTAAAACCTCAACGCATAAGCTAAAGGCCCAAAACTGAACGTGAGTCTCATGAAAAACAAGGAATCGCTGCTAATGAGCTGCTCTGAGAGACAAGGGTAGGCTACGAATCTTCTTACATTGTCCAAGAAATGGGCCTTCAGAGCCGCCGCGATCTCGTCAGGCGTCTTCCCCTCGATGGCGTTCTTCACTTCGCTGGATGCGGCACCCCTCGGCAATCACGGAAGCTACTTCCCCCTGCTCTTTTTTCCCAGCTTAACAACACTCAGAACTTGAGGCAGCCCTTGTTTCAATTTTGATCTAAATTGAGCTTACTCTTCCCAGAACGGCTCCGCAAACTTGCTGTCAAAGGCGCCCCATGATGAGATGTCACACAGAAAGCAACGAAGGATTCGTTCGCCAAGCAAAGACTTGAGGCTGGAAGCGGCAATTTCAGACATGCTGTACATCTAGCCAACCTCCCGCCCTTGCCTGAAAGCTCACCTGCTCATGTGGTGAGGGCACAGTCAGCCTGCAATGCAAAGAAACAGTCGCAGAACTGCGCAAACGCTCTTTTGACTTCACATGCCAGTTCCCGGCTGTACTGTCTTCCAGCTGCCCTCTCATCCAGCAAGCAGCTCGAGACTGCGGTGCCTCAACCAAGGGATCCACAGAGTAACCAAGGACGTTGAAGTCCGAGGCAAACATCTTGCGCATGGTCTCTACGGCGTCCTGCAGGGCTTCAGGATGCAAACACAAGCTTTGGATGTGTCCTGTGGCATGCTGACCTATTGATGCACAGACCTTTTGCATCAGTGAACTACCAAAGCTGAATCTCTCCACAATTCGCCCTGGAAAACTAGACTGGCACCTCTGTCCAAAGATTCTGCCATGGAGGAGGAGCATCTGCAAGATACCTGAGGCAAGAAACGAATTGACAAGGGCAGGAATCTTAAAAAATCTAGACCAACAAAGCCTGCTGGCCCCATGGGCTGTAGTCCGGGCTCGGGCGGAGGCCGGTGGGGATGATTGCTGGGATGGAGGGTAGGCGCTCGCAGAAGCGGAAGAAACGGCAAAGCATCGCCTGCAAGTGGAGGAGGTCCAGATTGAGCACTTCCAAGCGAAGTGCGCACATCCTGGAGCTAAGGAACACTGCAGATGGCTCGTATGCTACTAGTCTCCCCGATTGCTTCCAGACATGGAGCGATGCCTCCCAACTTTCCGTGCCTTGTCTGCATCACTTCTCTTGCTTCAGCAGACCACCGGGCATCTTGCACAATATCGCTGAAAGACAAGGTGTGGTACAGATCAGGATCTGTAAATGGGGCTGGCAAGGATCTGTGCCAGAAATCCTGCCCCACGCGCGAAAAACGATGCTCCGCCAACTGCCTCAGAAACTCGGGGAAGTCTGTCCATCCAGTGAGCGGTGCTTTCCTTGGGTTGGATAGCCACTTGTGCCGGAAGTACGAATACATGCGCCGGTAAGGATTTCGTACTAGCATGACCGGCAGTCGCCCTGTACCCTGGGCACAGCACGGAATGCACCAAGCGGGCGGAAGCAACAATTTGGACGCCATCTTGTGGGGTCTAGTCTCGAAGAAGAAGCGCTTAACAAGCGCTTGCCGAGCCGACGGTTGCAATCTGGAAGTCCTCATAATGAGTGCAAGTTAGCCAGTGAATAAGCGTGATGAAATCGCAAGCTCACCCGAGACGGGATGATTCTTTTCAAGCCAAGCTGCACTGACAAGCCGAGCCCCTCCGCGCCAAAAATCCATCTTAGGAACTTTCCGCAGACCATAACTTCATCACCGTGAAAATCTCCAAAAAGTCTCCGTGCAAACTCCGCTGGGCGGGAATTGCCTTCGACTTGGTATAGCCAGGATCCAACAGAGCTGCTACCCGCTTTCAACATCAAAACCATGGCAATTGGTGCTCGAAGCGGACAAAGAAACAGGTGCGATGAGTTGGCACCTCGGTTTCCCACATACCCCGTTTACTTCTCTAAAACCCTCATGCCAGACTTGCAAGACTCAGGCGTGTCAACAGAGGCTCGATCGCTTGGCTCTGCAATGAGGCGTCACTGCTGAAAGCATGCTGCTGGAACCATTGCTGAGTTGAAGAAAGCTGCTTTCACCATCAGGGGGATAGACAGGACAGTATCCACTTCCCACGGAATATTTGTCGCAAAGCTTCTCCTGACATACCACAAACTTTGGAGATCCTGAAGTGTCCTGGCATCTATCTTTGTAATCAAATCTGTCTTGGCAACGCCGGGGTATCCCGGCTCTCAACGCAGACAACTTCCAGTCGTCACTGCCCAAGGAAATTTCAAGCTGGCTCGGAGGCCATGGCTTGACTTGTTCCGTATTCTGGTCCATGTTACGCAAGGCCAAATTGGTAACTCACGGTTATAGCTAACGTGCGGAAGAATGCCGTGCAAATCATTACTTGCAGCTATCAAATAAGATGGAAAATCTGAAGAACTGACCATTACTTTTGCAAGTTCAAAAGAGCATGTATTCCAGCAAACTTCTGAGGTTTTCCACGTTGACAGGGCTATCTGTCCTGTTTGGAACCAACCAGCCATCCTGCCATGCCTACTGAAAAGGCTGAACATTTTGTGTTTTGCGTCCTTGGTGACACATGCCCATGCACGTGTCAAGGAAACATCGTCGTGGAATCCGTACTCGTGGGCAGGATCGTGCATTTTCAAATGTTTCGGAATGCAGCGGTTGAATGCAGAAACTTAACATTGCCGATCCTTTCTTGCGTCCTTCCTGCCTTCCCTGGTTTTCTTTCTTACTGGCTCGTTTGCCTGCCGGAGTTTGAACCTCTGAAAAATTTGCCTTTGAAACGCGTCCATGGATTGGCGCTTAAGGTTTTCGGGAAAACACCCTTTCGCAGCTTTTCCATGCCAACATTCAATTTTTTTCTCCGGATAACGCGGCGAAAGCCCAAGTTGTTGTGAGTTTGTTTAGCCAAGTCACAATAAACCTTCTCTGCTTCTCCAAACAGTGAATGCTCTTGATGTTCCCGGAAAACCCTGCGTCGTATTGAACCAATTTACTCGCTTTTGCATCCACCACAACCCACAACAAGCACTTGTATTTTTTGGAAGACGTGCATGCCGAACCAATGCTGGCACACTGGCTGGCATTCGCATATGCCGTATTACCTACGGAAATCTAAAGATGCGCTGTGACGTCGAAAGATCGGTCATCTACTGATAGCAAGGAGAGCCGGGTTGGGAAGGATCAAAAGGCTTATTTTGCACAGGGGAGAAGGATGTGGGCAAGGGATGTTTGTTAGATATTCCTGCAAAACCGCCAAACCTTCTCGCTGTTGTCTCATTATGCAAATCTGAACCCAAGCCCGGCAATCTCAACTTAACACCAACATAACACTAGCAAACATCCTCGTTGTTGTTGTAGCCAACCAAACTCACCGCAAAGCGTGGTGAGGGGCCTGCCACAGCAAGAATGAGCTAAAGCTCGTGCCATTGGCGTCTAGCAATTGCAGATGCAAAAATAGTCTCATGCCAAGTCTTAATGTGGTCCTCCTGGTGGAGGACAGCCTTACGAGCCCATTCAATGGCAGCACGGTGTGAACGCGGATTTGCAGTAAATAGGTATCCGCGTGGAGGGCGGTGCAAGACGTGGCTGCCTCATCGGCGGTCCGGTTTAAAGTACGGGCCTCATTAGCAATACCGGCTACTGGACACATCCACCCAGGGCGGCGGTCATGGGCAGGCACCCAAACACAAGAGGAATTTGCAGGCAGAAGCGAAAACATGTGGCGCCAATACCCTCCTAACTAAGAAGATGTAGCCCTGGCGGCATGCAAAAAAGAGACAGAAAGAGCTTGGTTGTCAGTGAAGATCAAAACAGGCGCCTCAAGGATGGCTGCGGCATGGGCAACGACCAAGAGAGCATAACGGCATAACGTTCCGCCACAGCCGGCGCTCGGTCAAAGCTGGGAACAAGACCGGAAAACTTGCTCTGCGAAGAGAATGCGATGCCAAAAGAGGAGTGGCTGAACCAGTACATACTTGGTTGCGCAGTATCCTGCAAGGAGCTGCGATCAGGAGGGCAAGGAGGAGCTCCTGAGAAACATCAGGCATACCACTCTGGGCTCGGAAGCCCGGTAAGCAGGTGCACTAACAAACGTTGCTCAGCTTCCGTACGCCCAACCAAGGACTGATCGGCGAGAACTGGGCATGAAAAAGTGACATGAGTGCGTGAGGGCAGCTCTCCCCGCAAGGACACGGGTGGAAAGCCAAGTGCATGCGCTCCAGGGCTCGTGTGGAGCTGCTGGGTGGAGCGGCAACGGCAGCCCCGAAACCTGGCCTCGCGCCTTTGGAAGTCCAAAGAGAAGTGCAGCAGTCTTGAGCCCAGAGCTGGCGAAGCCAGCTATCCTCCGCGGCCGGATCAGAGAAACGAAACCTGGCACAAATTCTCCATAGAGGGTGCCTGTCCAAAAAAAATTGCAGCGCGTGTCCATCCAAGGACTTGCATAGCAGACTCAAGCAGTGGCAGCAAGGAGTGAAAAGGTTGCAGCCACACGACACAGCTTGCGCGCGACTCCAGGAAGGGCTTAGAAAACAGAAGAGGGCGGCTCCGCAACGCCCCAAAGCAGGACCGGGACCTGGCAGAGACAAGATTGCTGCTAACAGTGCACTTCAGGGAGCGTGCCCAGCTCTGGGCCGTCGTGTGAGCAACCGGGACCCACGGACCCATGAAGAGGACGCCGCAACCCTCAATAATCCCAGAATCCGAAGAAACGCCCACAGACTTGAAGGTGCAGCACGCGCGCTTGTCCGGATGGACCTGCAAAACTAAGACGCTGTCAGCTTCCGCCCTCTAGCTCTAGCAAACATCCTTCTCAATACAACCAGCTGCAAAAAGCACATGCACATTCTGGCGAGGGTCTGTTTAGTGCCAGCCTATCTTGCTTTTAGAACGGCGGAAATCTCTGTCGCAGACGGAGAAAACATTTGGCCCGGCAGGCTTTTCTCCCTATCGAAGACGTTCCAGCTACCGGATTTTTAGCTTACACAAGTTCTCTGGCTCGCGGAGAGCTTTCTCACTGGCGCAGCCTTTCGTGACTGCATTTCCTTGTAGAATTGCAGCAGCTGTCGGCATATCCAAAGCAATCTCGGAATATCTTCCACCCTAGCTCCTCACCCTTGAAGGAACTCCGGAAAAACTGTCGAATTTAAAGACGTCTTAAGCTGGTCAGATTATCTGCCAACTGGTTGCGCTCTCGCCTCAACCAACTGCTGGAGAAAAAGGTTGGTTTCAGCTTCTCACCATGCCAAAACAAAGCTACTTACTTCTCTGTCAGCGCAAGGTTGCTCACAACATTTCAACTGACACTTACGCGCTTCAAAGACTCAGCCAACATGGCAGCAGTTCTGCACAGGGCTTGACTCTGACCTTGCCGTATTCCACGGCACCAGTAAAGATGCAGCGTGCGTTTCAAGTTGGCTGCCGGACCCAAGCCAAAATCATTTTCCGAAACCATCGTCAAATCACCTTTCAAAGCACGAGGGCAGCATACTGGGCTACCACGCGGCATCAAGCAAAAAGGCGAGGTGCACATTCACTGCCGCCATGTGAAGCACAAGTTACAGAATGTTGAACGTTTGCTCCACAAACTTTCGACACACTCTGGCCGTAGCGGGGCGAATTTCTACACACATGCAAACTCTGCCTCAGCCTCTGTTGGGCGAGAAGTTAAGGCTTACTGCTACAATGCTCAAACCAGTTGGAAGCCGCTTTTGCGGTTCCTAACTCCTCAACTCACCTTAGCCTCTTTTTGGGCTAGAACTCGGGCTTACCTGCAGTTTCTAAGAGAACTACTTGGCATCTGGTCCCTTTCAGGGTTGCCTTGGGCATGGATTGGCAACGTAACTAAAGGAAACGCCATCTCAGCCTCATCTCCGCGCCACTCCTGGCGGGCGGTAAGCTTCCAAACCAGGCTTGTAAGCCGGAATTGAAAGGGTGGGCTAGAGTGAAATCGTACATCACCCGGCCCATACCCTGGCCTTGAAAGGGGCAACAGATGCCTTCTGAAGTGGCCTGCGCGGTGGTGGCCACAGCTCTGCTCCGCAAACACTTGGCCACCAATGTGTAAGGCCCACGCAACTCTGATGCACAGACGCGCGCATCTTTAGGCAGCCAGGCAGCCCCACTGAGCCACGCTTCCAGCAAGAGCAGGATCACAGGCCCCGTGACCGGCCCTGCCTCTGGCGCAGATATTGCTTCAAGCGTGGTGACATTCACATCCTCTCCCAAGATCTTCACCACACAGGAGAATTCTCTTTTTGCTGTTGTTAACGGCCCTGTGGACATAACTGCTCCTGCGCGATAAAAAGCTGTAAGACTTGTGGCGATCGGTAAAGATCAGAAATCCACGACTGGGTGGTTACAGACACATACCAGCAAAAGTCCAAGTTAACTCTTCTTTTTCTTATCAAATTGTGGTAACTCAAAGCTTAGCTCAGCGGTTGCTACGTCCATATGTAAACGGCACAGTGGAATACCTTCTACGTCAACAAGCCACTTAAGAGACCTTAAGCTAATTATACAGAACATCTTGCACATACATGATTGCGACCTACCTTGCGCAACAGTGGGTTGACAGAATCTACACGAATACTAAAAAAAAAGAAACTTTATACATTGGCTCTAAATCTAAAAGTTATCTTCAAAGTGCACAGGGCCAAAACTCTTACACATGGATCTAGATCTCTGCGTAGTGCGTATTCACTGCTTTAAGACAACTGCTTAGAAGCATTTTATTTGCAGTTGCCAACTGCTTTTGAGTTGAGTTTTAATTTGCCGTGCTGCTTTTCAAGAACATGTCGACTGCTTCTAAGCACACACTTTTTTTAACCGATTACTTTTGAGCATTCATTTG